ATAAATTAAGGGAACATAAATGTATACGTCAAAGGTTAGATTAAAAGTTTGAACGTTTATTGCAACAAAACAGTAAAATATATAAAAAAAATTGTAAAAACCTTTTTTTTTAGTTATGCAAATATTAAATATTTAAATTAAATCGCTAGTTTTAATTGGATAATTGAAAGAGTGCATAATATTTTTAATAAACAGCCAATTAAAACAATTCAAACCGTCAAATTTTTTTTATTTTGCTCTTAAAATTTTAGTTATGACCTAATTAACAAGAATATAAAAAAAAATTAGGTTTCACAGAAAGTCCAAAATCACCTCTCAGAACAGCACCGTGAATATTAAAATCTTACATAATTATGCCACATTGGAACATATTTTATGAATTCTATCTCAATATTGTAAAATTGATATTCTAACTCAAAGTTCTACTTTATTTAGAGGAACTATTTAAAAATTGTACAAAAGAGTAACATTCATTTTTGAAATATTTTTAACAACCGATTTCAACTCTTTTCTTGACAATATTGTGCAAATGGTTAAATAATAATAATAATAATAATAATAATAATAATAATAATAATAATAATAATAATAATAATAATAATAATAATAATAATAATAATAATAATAATAATAATAATAATAATAATAATAATAATAATAATAATAATAATAATATTTTATTGATCCAAAAAAGACAATTAATTATTGTATAGGACAATCTTTTCCAACAAATTACAGAAAATTGACTTAAAGAAGCCAATTAGAAAAACCAATCCAACTATCTTGGATAACGTAGAACATTTATAGAAAATTATGCCCCATTGGCATGTTGAATAACTTTGTGTAATGTTTTTCTTTGTGAAGACCCTTTATTAAAGGGGCACGTACCCGAGGGTTGAGCATACCTACCGGGCGCGTCTCCATGTGGTGAATAGGAGGAGTCCAGGAAAGTTCTGGAAACAGGACGCCTGACAACGGTGAGCTATAGGTGAAGTGCCGTGGTCTAAAACCCAAGTGTCATGGAACTAAAGCCTGTTGCAAACCAGCTCGTGGCACAAACCGTAAACCGCTTTTGGTAAAACGACCCCCGCAAGATCCTCCCCAGAACACCGCAGGGTAGGTATCATGAGGGGCACTGGGGGCTTGGCTACCCCAATACTTCCTCCCCTACTCGTGGGACCAATATGTATACAGTTAACCGAGGAAGTACAGGACAGGGACCGGTTCCTGCAGACGCTGGGCGCTCAAAACTAGCTAGAGCGGGACTTGGAAAGTCCTGTCCATCAGAAAAGTCGAGGGGGGCACTGGCTACCTAATGACCTTACTGATGGATGAACAGTCCTAGGAAAAAGTGGGGGGAAGAAAACCCTGTACCACAACCTAGGCTGGCTAAAGATCAGAAGGAGCACCGGGAAGGTGCCCGGGAAAAATGAAGAGGAGGAGCTAATTGAGCAGACCCCAATAGACGAGGAACCGACATCAGGACCCTCGTCCACTACTACGATAGCCCAAAGAGAGGGGGAGCCCACTGGGCAGACCCCAACGGACGAGGAGCCGCTCGTCTATAGACTCTAATCGCCCTGCATGGTAGTGAGGATAATACAAATCAACCTCCACCACTGCAGAGCAGCAACTATGCAAGTCTATGGCCGCTGACGAGATTTATATTGCCCTTATTTAGGAACCGTATGTGTACAAGGGCCAAATAAGGGGTCTGAGGGGTCTCAGGGGGAGAATTATTTCACACCCCAACGAGACGAACCCAAGAAGTTGTATTTTCTTCAGAGGTAACATGGATGCTATGCCACTGTGGACTTACTGCGATAAAGACACAGCGACAGTAAGATTAAATCTTACATAAGAAGGGAGCCAACAAGATGTAATACTAACATCGATGTACCTTCCTTATGAGCAACAAGGGGAACCACCAGCCGCCATTCTTAGGTCTCTAGTGGAACAACCTGGATCGGCTAACCTGATAATAGGATGTGATGCCAATGCACACTACACAATGTGGGGGAGCACTGACATCAACAAACGAGGTGATACTTAACTACTGTCTCTTCACAGATATTAATATTCTCAACACTGGGAACGAACCAACCTTCTTAACCGTGTCAAGAAGAGAAGTAATCGATCCAACACTGTCAAAGGGACGCATAAGTGAACTGGTGAAACAGTGGCATGTATCGAATGAAATTAGTCTGTCAGACCACAGATACATAAGGTTTAACCTTGAATTAACATCCAAGTACAGAAACCCAAGAAAAACGAACTGGGACCTACACTGAAAGAAATATATACTAAAGTTAAATAAAAAAATAATTAGGGCAAATATATTTTATGTTTCATATATGGACTACCACATACATTGCTAAAAAAAATATATTCGTTTGGTTAGCAGCCTATTGCTGCCCTAGCAATATAAATGTGTTTCTAGCAATATTTTTTTGCTGTAATTCACTTATAGTTTACATTTTATAGTAAGGGTAAGTTTATTTTTATTTAGATCTAACATATCTTCTTTACAATAAATGTATTACAAAATTTAAAATTACATTCATAATAAACAGTAGTATAAATGTGTAAAGCACTAGTATAAAATTTTTAGTATAAATTTGTATTTACTTTTAGCAACAAATTTCTTTCAGTGTATATAAAGAGGTACTAGAAAGTAACCTGGAGATCTGCCCAAAAGAGGGGAAAGATACCTTTGATCTTACCCTCTTTGTGACAGATTCCATTAAGGATGCCTATGAGCAGGCATGTCCACTGCGTTGCTCAAAACAAAAAGCCTATCTTGGTGGGACTCTGAGCTAAAAAACCGCAAAAGAAAAACAAGAAAGCTGTTCAACACTGCGAAAAGAACGGGAGGATGGGACCTATACAGATACCACCTAACCGAATATAACAATGCCAACAAAAAGGCCAAGAAACTAGGTTGGTAAAAACTATGCCGGGAACTATCGGAGATACCGGCCTACTCCCTACTGCATAAAGCCATGGCGAAGAGGGCACAGCATACCCTAGGAACATGCCTCAAATCAGATGGAAAACACACGACTACTGAAAGTGAGACACTAAGGCTGATTCTGAGGACCCACTTTCCAGGATCAATCATACTCGAAAATTCGGAGATCCAAAACCCAACCACACTTGAAATCAAGAGGGGTAAAAGGGAGGACTAGATTCTATCGAGAAAAATAATCATCTACGAAAAATTTAAATGGGCAATAAAAACTTTCAAACCATTTAAATCTGCCGGAACTGACGGAATCATACCAGCCATGTTACAGCAGGGCCAAAACGGCATAAAAGAGGTATCTCAACAGGGCAGTCAAAAAATACTAAACCTGGGAAAAGAGATAACCGATTTTCAAGCGGGCATCATTGCCATACAACTGGTTATCCAACGAATGAGGGAGAGCAATCCCACGGAGAAGTTGCTCTCCATCATTACACACGAACCAGAACCAATTCGGGCACTGGAGGCATTTCTAATCAATTCGAAGGCCGTACTAGAATGTCTAAGAGATGTGACGGCATTAACCAGAACACAAAACCAGATAACTCTTATCCTGGTGCAAGGAGAAGGCAGAGGAAGTTCGATGAGGTGGAAGTCAAACCTCGCAGTTGATAAAGCCAAAACCATGTTGATAGGGCCGGAACCCACATGCGGCACCAGGCAAAAATCATCCAGGAAAAAACTAATTAACATAATTACAGCACAAACAATACTGGTAAAGCCTGTCTGGTCTGGAGCATTCGAAAGCACTTTTGGTCAATCCATCTGCTGAAGGGCAGAAATCAATAAGGACATATTCCAGGACCCAACTAAAGAAAGCATTACCCCTTCTCATATGCCATGGTTTCTTTAAAAAACACCTTCAAACAATGGGGATAAGAGATGACCCTTAGATATTAATAATATTATTATTGCGGTTTTCCTTGATTTCCTTGATTTTCATATATGTTCAGCATGCATATTTTGCAAAACTATTCGTTCATATATTATTTGCATTTGATATAACTTAATGTGGTGTGTGGGTGTTTAAGTGTTTGACCAGCCTGACAAGAATATATCTCACTGTTTCATATCAAGCACTGGGGTCACTTACAAGCTTCATATAAAAAAGACGCCTTTGAAGAATGAGATAAAAGATGCTAAGTTAGCTGGTTCTGATTGCACAGGGTATGACAATAAAACACAGCAAAAAACGCAAAATAAATAAAAATTTCGATCACAGAATTGCCTTGCTATCATAGATTAATTTTAATAATTTTTGCGGCAGAGAATTGAGGCATACAAACTAATTAAAACCTGTTTTTTTAATGCCAAAAATAAAGTCATTAGTCAGAAGAGGTGAATGTATAATTATATTAAAAAAAAGGTTAAAGGTGCCTTATGGTCACAAACAGCAGTGGAGAAAGGTCAATGAAAGTTGATCAAAGCAGGCTTCAAATTTCTGTTCGAAGAAAGAAAGTAACATTTTAAGACAACAACAGTATGAAGATATTATAAGTAGCATCATTAGTACAAAATGTAGGAGTAGACTAATGCCATTACGACAACTAACAGCTGACACTTTAGTTAAAGTTGGATTGTTTGGAAAAGTTCTGAATTGGAATTAAATAATAATATTATAATTATTATTATAATTAAAGAGGGTATGCTTACCCTTTATAATAATTATTAACAAAATATAAAATATAATTTTAATAACGTTTTTTTACTTTGTCCTTTCAAGTAAATTTTCTCGAAAACATGATGGAGCAATTCTACAGTAGCATTCAAATTCAAATTCAAATTAAGCGTGTCTAAAACTAGTAGTACATGGTGCGGCAGGGAATGGAATGCCAAAAGCTATGTTTAATTATAAATATACATTTTAAAGATGGCTACTCCCGCGTCGCACCCTGTACAATCTGGTTAAGAAAAAGTTTAGGCTGTTTTGTTCAATGATTTCTTTTCAATAGGCAGTAGGCATTGTCCAACTTACCGGCATCGGTTTTATAGTATCCACAGGTATATTTAGTTTCTTTACAGCATTTTGATTGATGCTTAACAAACGCCTTCTTCTTTTAACAGTTGCATCGTTTTGAATATTTTCATAGTAAATATTATACGAGTTCTCTTTAACCTCCGAAGAATCATAAATGTTCGATAACAACTTGTATTCGTTTGCTCCTCTACTCAAAATCAATAGCAACTTAGTTTCCAAAATGTCCTGGTCCATGTACAACTTTTGAAAGGCTATTTTCTGGACGTCCTTGGATATGTAGCAAGGAGCTGTAAAATACTCCTTTGAGCTAATATCCATGCATTGGCCTTCAAGAAGAAGAACATCCTTTATTTTGGAATCTATGATGAAAGTCTTAAATAGGGTTAGGTCTGGTACTATGGAATTTTCAAGAAAAAATATTTTTTTATTTCCTTCCACTGAACCGTATAGAGTTTGAGCCATATTAAATGTTACACTTTTCCACATTTTAGCCTTTAATCCATTCAGGGGATCGTTGTTCATTTCAAAAGCTCTTAAACATAAATCCTTCCTGATAAACAAAACTTGACTGGCTATTTCATTTACAATAGAACAGCTATAAGGTCTATCAGTTAAAATACATAATTCGCCAATGGTGGATCCAACAGTAAGAAAATTGACAAAGTTTGTAATTAACATATTGGGCGAAAGGAAGTCCATTATTGGTAGTTCACCATTCTTAAGTAACATGTTTATAACGTTCTCAGTAGGATTATAAATTATTTTAAACATGCCTAAAACACAGGAAAAATTTAAATTGGTTATTTGTTTTATTCGCATAGATTGTATATCTCACTAAAACAGAAATTTCTAACATAAAAGTACTATTATAGCATACTAAAATTATGGATCAAAATTTTATTTTATTACCCTATCATTTTTCGTGGCTCAGCACCTAAATTTGTGATTTTACAAAGTTATCTTAGAGAACATGTATCAAATACACAAAGTGCTCCACTTTACTTGATACAAATTTAACCATAGTTAATTGAAAAATAAATAAAAAGGTATACCTTTTTATCTAATAGAAAAAATAGAAATAATCCGGTTGTTTGGTGATCATGCTCGTAGTAGCAGAGTTTAACTTAAGACATCCCCAACATGCTCCCATTACTCATGGAAAAGCATTGTAAATGCTCTTTTCAATGAAACAGGCAGTGTTATTAAAATCCAACGGAATAGTCAACCTCGTCGATACATCTGCATCTTAAGAATAACGATATATTGGCAACAAATCGAGCAAATCCATGCATAGGCCTTCGAGATTTAAGGAGGTCCATTCCAAAACTCGGCTTATCCACTTTTTAATAAAAATGAGTTAATGGTGTCTGTACATTTAACATGTATCTCCCTATATCCTGATATTATGAACTATATTCTAAAACTACCTTATTCCATTTAAAATTCATTTACAAATTGACTATCGTTCCAAAACTTGCCTTTTATATTGGTTATATCATGCAGAACTCGGCATATACGTATGTAATTTTAAACTGGAGCTATACCTATTTAATCAAGGTATATAAATGTTTTACTTATGCCTTTATATTTCGTTTAAAGTATTGTGTTTGCATGATATGCGTTAGTTCTCACGTGTAAGGTTTTTGACATTTTGCTCGAAAACATCTAATATGGATAAGCCGAGTTTTGGAATGCACCTCCTCATTTATCATCTCAAATGAAATTAGCATCCCGGAACTTGGACGAGTAACTTAACCTAATCGTAAAAGAATCGAAAAATATATTCGAATATAGGAAGGACTAGTTAAGAGAGATCGCATTTGATAGTTAATTATTTTATTTTTATTTTTTTTATTAGTTATTATTATTGTTGTATACCTTGAACTTGTAATAATTTTGTGTAGACCAAAATACCAAAAAATTAAAAGTAACATTTTATCATGAAAATCGGTATCCTATTCTGAACAACTTTTTCTAAAAAAAAATCAATATCTCTAACGCGAAGCAAAATATCGACAATTGACCCTGTTTGTTAATTCGTAGTAGGCTGAGTTTAAAGTTCAGATTTTAGTTGAGTACCTTAAAAAATGTGACCCATCAACAATGTTGATTCAACATGTATGTAAGCAAGGTAAAAATATACACATTTCAAAATAAAATTTAAATAAGACATTGTTTATTAAATAAATTTAATCTCAAATAAAAAAATTCAACTCGGAAACTAGTTAATGGGATTTTTTTTCCATTTTCATGCAAGGAATTTCATCATAATTTGTTTTAATATGTTTCAATACAATATTCGTGGAATAGTATGAGGCAACCCAGTTAAATGAGTTTTCATCTATTTTTTTACTGAAAGTACTATGCTCGCTTCACAAATTTTGACTCGGAAACTTAAAATGACTCATTTAAATTTTAAATGAGTATCGGTTTGCGATAACAAAATTTGACGATAGGACACATTACCCTTCCTTTAGAGTTTTATGAGTTTGTGCAATAATTCTTTTACAGCTTGGCAAATCTAGCTAGAGACGTCGCCCATCGATGCGCAAATGCCAGCTCTTAAAATCGTCATTTGCATTTAGTTTGCCTAGGATAAAGAACGCTCCGCGTTGTCAATTTATCATTTGTTAATACTTATACTAGGTTGCTTCGTTTGAGACGACTATTTTTTGTTTCTCACTCCATTTACGAAATATTGTTATAAACATAGAAAAAAAAATCCCTCTAAAGGAGAGCTCTTAATTGATTTTTTCTCTTGTTTTTAGAAATTTATCTCAGAAACAATTTATTCTGCGGGTTCGGCTGTTAATCTGTCTTGAAGGAAATTAAATTTTTTACAAAAAAGGTCCTTTACAATTTTGATATCAAGACAATAGTTTAGGAGAAAAAGTCGGAAAACCCCGATTTTTGAGCAAAAACCAACTACACAATTTTTTACTGGCAATATAAGAGCTTTTAAAGAGGAATGATCCCTCTCCAACTTCCACCCATGGTCAAATGAATGCCATGAAATGTCGCTATGCTATAGATAATTTAAGCAAAAAAAATATTTTTACGGGTTAATTAAATGGGAAAACTTTAAATTCATTTAGCGAGTACTTAAAATTAAAATTAAGAGCTCTCTTTTGGTGGGATTTTTTTTTTCTATGTTTAGAACAATATTTCGTCAATGAAGTGAGAAAAAAATAGTCGTCTCAACTTATACTAACCCTAACATAAATTTTCAAAAGGATTATAACCTATTTTTATTTGCATTACGTTACCTCTTTTAAACATACCTGAATTTTATAAGAAATTCTTGTTTACCTTAAATACATATAATTCTATTCTAATTGTATAAATAAATCGAAAATTTATTATTTTTTACTCTTAAATAACTTTAATAATGTTGATATTTAAACCTTTATTAGTTTTTAAAGTCTCTAGCTAGATTTGTCGAGTTGTACATGCGGTGTTATTCACCAGACTTCTGATCCGTTTTATTAATATCTTCAACACCACTCTGACGGATTCCCAATTAAAACGGACGAGGTAAGAAAAAGCATAATTTATGAACAATGTTTTATATCTGGTATTTAACATTTGCCTTTAAGATAAATGTGTGTGATTACTTTGCTTCGTTTAGACTAATGAAGACAAAAAGGTCGATTTATTTGCAGACCTAATAACGTTCTAAACTTTTAAGTTATATTCCATGACATTACAAAAAAAATCTAGTAAAAAAAGCGTCGTTTAAACTAAAAAACTTTTTATATGAAACAAAATTTTGATCGACTTAAGTTTGTTTTTGTAATAATTTTAGTTATTAAATGCCATTACTCAGATGTCTGTTATAAAATATTGTTCACAAAATTGGTATGCCATTTTAATTTATTACCTGTAATGACCAAATAAACTCCATCTATTTTATCTCCAACATTGACAATAACATCGCCTGGATTGTACAGGAGAATTTGTATGTTTTCGTAAAGATACTGCAGGATAATCTTATCATCTGGAAGCCAGTTTATTTCGAAAAAGTCCTTTTCTGGCGTGGGCTGCTCAATATATTTAATTTCTTTTACTCTTTTTACATTTTCTTCAATGTAATCTAAAAGCGCTAGTTTTTCCTTATTATCCAACCATCCAGAATCGTTAAGCTCGTATATAGCTATTTTCATTTCGTAAAATGTTCCATGCAAAGCATGTTTTGTTTGACAGGTGGTTGCCACCCAGCCCCTAAGTTTTTCTATGTATACTAAACATTTTACGATTTCTATAATGTTGTTTTGTATTTCAACCTTCATTTCAAGACGAACTGCGCTGTTGTCTATCATATTTTCTAAAATTTCTAGCAGGTGTTGCTCAGTTTCCAAAAATCCCTAAATAAACAATTTTAAAATAATTTTTTAATAATTTTAACGCTGTTAACTTACACATCCCAACTCGTAGGAAACTTTAGTTTTTGATTCTAAAGCAATTTTAGAATGTCTGGTAAACTTCGTACATAATTTACTCGTTAGAGTAAGAAATATCAACTTTCTTAAACCGTTTAATATTTTTAATGTTAGTACAATGCGTTCTGAAATAATAACTATTATTTTTGTGACTTCCAGTTTTGGTAAACAGCTTTCTATAAACACAGCAGTCAATGCGAAAACACATATAAAATTAAATATGGCTTCTTTGCACCTAAAAAAACCTTCAATGATACCAATACAAAAAGAGAAGATTGTATTGTCTTACATGTCAATACAATCAATAATATAAATATATATATATATATATATATATATATATATATATATATATATATATATATATATACAAGGTGTCCCTAAACTTAGTGGCATAAATTTAGGAGCAGATTAAGCAAGTCAAAATAAGACGAAAATCTAAATAAATATTTTTCCTAATTACGTATGTCTAAAAGATACAGGGTGATAAAGTGTTACTTTTCATATCAGTTTGTTTAATATAACTTCTACTATGTTAGACTTGGAAAGGTGATATTTTGCGAACAGTCATTTACTACCAAAACACATATTCACACATAATTACAATTATTCGAGTGAACGCAGTGTCGTAGAAACAGGAGTTGCTTATTGTCCCATACAAACTTTGAGGTTAGGTTTTTATACCATTTGATGCAATTTTTCGATTACTCAGTTCGGCTACTATTAAAAAGGTGTACCTCTTAAACTTCGATAAAATTAACCGTTTCCAAGATATTCGAGATTACAATAATTGTTATATATAACAATTATTGTAATCTCCATATATGGCATTAAAGGACTAAACGGTATATGATAAGAAATTTTTTAATTGAAAAAACTACAATTTTTTTAATAATAATAATAATAATAATAATAAAAATGCTTTATTGTGTAAAAAAACAAAAACAATTATTTACACAAAAGGCAGCGTTCGTAAGGACGTTCTTCCACACCACCTGTACTAAGAAATTAACTCTTAACTATTTTATTTTGCATATCACATATCAATTACATTAAGTTCTATCATTTCATACAATTTACTTAAGTTTTACATATCACACATTATCACAGTTACTAACTAGTTTTTGTATTCTAAATTAAACATGTTGGAGTTGACATAAATTTTATAAATCACATATTATCACCAGTTAATATCAAATTTTTGTACTCTAAATTAAATGTGTTCGGGTTTTTAAATATTATTTTAAAGAATGTTTTATAGTTCAAAAGTTTTATAGTTCAAAAGTTTTATAGCCAGGTACATAAACGAATCCTTAAATTTTGTAGTTTTATGACTAGGTATTTGAAAAAGGTTGTCTTAAATCAAGGTTGTGTACATTGGATCTTTGAATAAAGGTGTTGAATAGGTATTCAGGCAATTGTTTGGTGTATACTTTCTGAACTAATTTTCCAAAATTATGCTTGTAACGATCTCTTATTTTTAAATGCTTGTTTTCCAAATAGATGGAAGTAATGTGGTCAAATTTTCCGACTAAATAAATGAATCTTATACAAGAGTTCTGCATTAATTGCAGTTTATTTTTATATGTTTCAGTAAGATATGAGTAGTAGACCTGCATGCAATAGTCTATAATAGGGTATATTAATGTTGAGACAATTTTGCACTTGGTGTTAGAATTTAGAACGTATTTAAACTTATATAGTGATTTCAGCTTCATATAACACAAACTAAGTTGTCTTGTAACATGTCTTTCAAAGTTCAGGTTTGTATCAAAAATAACACCCAGATTTCTTGCTGTTTCTTGCTGAGGTATTTCTATATTATTTATATGGATGGTATTAAAATTATATTGTTTGGATTTATTTATCATGTATAATGTACCAATATTTATTACAAGACTCTTTTTGGCATTTAACTGAAGTCCATGATTAACTGACCAAGCATTTACTTCTTTTAAGACTTTATTTATTTCGTTAGTGGCTGTGTTAATTTCTGACGGATAAAATGATTTTATTAGCTGAAAGTCGTCGGCAAACATATGAATACGACAGTTTTTAATTACTTCTGGAAGATCGGCTGTATAAATTGAGAATAAGATGGGCCCCAGGATACTCCCTTGAGGCACTCCATGTTTTGTCACTGCTACATTAGACCTATTTCCATCCAGATCAACCAGTTGTAGTCGATTTTTTAAGTAGTTAGCAAACCACAGACATGCCTTTGGACCAATTCCATAGAAGTGCAACTTGGCCAGTAACAAATCGGGATCTATTAGGTCAAATGCCTTAGTATAGTCTAAAAGGACCAAAAAAGACATTTTTGATTCATCCATAGCCAAGCAGAGATCATTTGTAACCTTAGTCAAAGCAGTAGTTGTACTGTAATTTGCTCTAAACCCTGATTGTATGGGTGGTATAATTTTATATTTATTAATATGTTTAATTAAATCTTTATTGACTAGTTTTTCCATTACTTTGGATAGTATTGGTAATAAGTTTATGGGTCTGAGATCACTAAAGTTTAAAGGGTTAGTTTTTTTTGGGAGAGGCTTTATAATTGAGGTTTTCCAAATGGTAGGAAAAACTCCTGTGTTAATTGATTCGTTAAAAATGTTTATTAACGTTTCTGCGCAATATGGTAATATTAGGTCTATCATAAATAGGCTAATATTATCAATCCCAACCGCTTTGATTTTATTTCTTTAATTGCCTGTTTCATATCTTGTTCAGTATATTCTTTAAATTCTAGTTTTAAGCCATTTACCATTGTATTATTACTATAAAACATTTTAGTATTTATATTTATAGGTGTTACAATTTTACTAAGGTCATTAAAAGCTTTATTTATCTCATTGGGTTTACTTAAATGTGGTGGAATATTTTTATCATTCTTATTGTGAATATCCCATTGTTTAAATTGGGACCAAAGTTTTTTAGGGTTGTTATTATTTTTATTAATTTCAAATTCTATGTATGCTTTTTTTTCGTTTCTTATTGCAAATGATAAATAATTTTTTAGATCAAGGTAATATTGTTTATCTTTGTCCAGTTTGCTTTTTTTAAATTTAATAAATGCTTTATTTTTTAATTCAATCATTTGTTTTATAGTTTCTGTTATGTATGGTTTTGACTTGTGTTTAATATGTACCGTTTTTATAGGTGCATGCTTATTAAATATGCTAGTAATAATTTCATTAAAAAGGTTGACACGGATGTTTAAATCTAAATTTTCATCTAATGCCTGCCAATCCACTGTATCAAACTCAAAATCACTTATATTAAAGTTACGAAAATCCCTAAAAGTTATTTCTCCTTTATTCAAATATTCAATATTTAAGTTAACTTTGCAGTAAACCAACCTATGATCAGTAAAGTTGTACATACCTATAGTTTCAACTTCCTCCACAGATACATGTGTATCAACACACAAAATGTCAATAAGAGTACTAGTTGTTCTGGTAACTCGGGTTAATGTGACGGTCTGGGCAAAAAAAGTCCCGAGGCTCATAAAATGCCCTTTTTAGTTTTTTCAATTAAAAAATAAAATTTGTTATCATGTACCTTTTAATCCTTTTAAATAATGCGATATAACAATTAGTGTAATCTCGAATATCTCGGAAACGGTTTATTTTACCGAAGTTTGAGAGGTACACCTTTTTAATGGTAGCCGAACTGTGTAATCGAAAAATTGCATCAAATCTTATAAAAACCTAACCTCAAAGTTTATATGGAACAATAAGCTTAAAGCAACCCCCGTTTCTACGACACTGTGTTCACTTAAACAATTGTAATTATGTGTAAATATGTGTTTTGGTAGTAAGTGACTGTTCACAAGATATCTCCTTTCCAAGACTACCATAGTAGAAGTTATATTAAAAAAACTGATATGATAAGTAACACTTTATCACCCTGAATCTTGGAAACGTAAGTAATTAGGAAAAATATTTATTTAGATTTTCGTCTTATTTTGACTTGCTCAATATTTTCCTAAATTTATGCCAATAAGTTTAGGGACACCTTGTATATATAAAACTGAATTTTATACTACTGTTGCACTAAAAAGTATCGCAAATGGCCATTTTCATAAACAGATTTTATATATACACTTTAATTTAAATTAAATTATAGAAAAGCGTATAAAGGGTTTTTCAATGGGGATTAATCCCCAATTAATTACCCAATTTCTACAATTCACGGCGTTATTTGTCTTAGATATCATTCGTAATTTTCATTCTAAAATAACAAAATGATTTTTATAATGTAAGCTCAATATGCACACGATATAATGTATTTTATGAACGTGACTTGAAGAAAATCATCAGAGTTCATAACGTATACTCATTTGAACGTCAGTGTGATGACAAGATGAATAAGATGCGCACACTATAAGGGTAATCTTTTCTAATTTCGCATTAGTATGTTTTGGATTGGTAAATCTTATTCCGTAATCATAATATATATAATTAAAGATGTTTTCTTGCTGTTATTATTCCGCTTGATTTTGCCAATACCGGCATTTTGACACAAATAACCCAAAAATTATCATAATAAGATTATTATCATGAGTGTTTAGGGTAGTTGTGTCAAAATCTCGGTATTGACGAAAATAAGCGGAATAAGAGCAGCAAGAAAACATCTTTAAGCTTACAGATTCGTATTAACTTGCTACGTCTTTTCAAATACATAAGAGATTCTAGTCGAATCCCATATCTTTTATAAAATGTACCCAGAGAAAAGTAATCTCTTGATTTTACTATATTTGGCTTGGCTCAAATAAATTATTTATTTCGATATCTAAAAGAAGATATTTATTTAGTGGAAAACTTGGGTTTATTTGACTTTTTAAACTGATATTTGGTTAATTCAAGTAAATATCTAGTTGACTTTTTATCTCAGGTTTAGTAGAAGCTTACTTAAAGAAAAAAACCTACATCCAAATAATTTAATTAATTGCTCTAAATAAATATTTTTTTACAATTAATCACAACAATAAGTTGATTTCAAGAAACTTGATTTACAACCAAATAATAGTATTTTCTTATTGTAAACAACAAGTTACTACGAATAAAAAAATTTTACTTCATACAAGAAAACCTGTTTCAAATAAATGCATTTTCTTAAATCAAGGGATTACTTTTCTCTGTGTATATTTTTTATTTTGTTCAATGCATCAGCTGCAGTGCATTTAAAATGTTATCTAGTCGAAGGGTGCAGATCAGCATTTAAAATCAGACCAAACAAAATTTTAGCTGACAAAAAAGAAAATGAAAATTCGATAAATTCTAAAAAATAAAAAATAGATGAAGAGTTCGGGGAAAATAGTTTTTCATCGATGGATGATGAAAAACCATTGAACACCGGTGACTCGGATGTATAAATGTATTCTTTCAACTTCTTTTCTCTACTCATGTATACGTAACTATAGTTTTTTTGCGACAACTATGATTCTAGTTCAATCCAATCCTATTAAATTGCAAATTTTTAAGTATTTACAGAAGCTTTATAGGAAATCACCCAACTTATTTTCTTTTATGTAAACTTAATGTAAGCTTGTGCTGAACATACAACTGTGTGCGTATATGAACTCAAATGTGATTCACTTGATGTTTATGTGGTTTTACATAGAGATTACGAATGGTATCTGGATGTATTCAATAATGTTTGAAGTTTCACTAAGGATCATTAGATCCTACCATAATGTTTTTAAATTTTTTATTAAATGCTTGGTTTATAAGCAAATACCATTATTGCATTCACAAGATCCACAAGATATACAGCCTCAAAGAATAACTGTTGGGTGTAGATTATTGCACAAAGGCATCATTAATCCTATTTTTTTGAAATGAGAATTAAAGGAGCGTTACCGTAAACCCTGTATATACACTTTATTTTAAACATACTTTAAAGTTCTTTTAAGTCCTTGGGGAATTAGTTTATCTGTAGATAGCGATAAAGTAATAGCAATTATTTCAAGTGCCAATACTGAAAGTTCCGCAAGAAAAACTTTGTAGTCCATCATTTGTAGGCTACAAAAAAAATATCCATATGTACAAATCATAATGAGGTCTGTAATTCTATATTTCCATAGCACATAGAAGCATGTGTACAAGATGCTTTTTGGCCTTTTTACATCTTTTAGTATGTTGTAGAAAAGAAAGTCGGATATTTTTTTGTAGAAATTTCTGGATAGATGCTAAAAATATGTATTTAAAACTTTATATTATTTATGTGATAATCATAAAACAATAGAATGATATCTGTTGTTTATTAATATCCAGTTAAAATAATCCTTAAGATGACAAAAAGGTGCCGAGGGTTTATACCATATATATTAGTTTTACTAGTCCAGCTCTTGTTTTTTTAGGGTGTCCCAAAAGTCAACGATATCCTTTGGAGGACTGATAGACCAACTCATGACTAAGCAGAAAATCAAAATATGACCTTAGTAAAAAATCGTTAGTTTTCATTTTTATGAATTTTGTAAAACTTGACACCTTAGATCAGTTTTTCGAGTGCCACAGCTACAAAATCTACTATTAATTTAATTTTGAATTGTAATTAATAGCAGTCCTATCCAGGGTTACGCAAAATAAAATATAATCTAAGAATATAGAATGCTGTAGTTGTGGCACTCGTAAAACTGATTTTATGTGTCAAGTTTAACAAAATTTATAAAAATGCCAATATCTTAAAAACTAATGATTTTTTACTAAGGTCATGTTTTGATATTCTGATTAGTCATGAGCTGACCTATCAGTCCTTCAAAGGATATCGTTGACTTTTGGGACACCCTATAGGTAAAGTTAAATACTTAAATACTTTCATTCAATACGCATTTAATTTCATAACTTTAAGCACCAATTGGCAAAATAGCATTTCGCCCACAGACTGAAGTTAAATAAAATTGGCTTTAAATTTGTTATGGTAGTTGAGTAATAGTATATTATATATTAAGTTTTATAAACACCATTTTAGTTACCAATTTTATTTGACACGAGCTAAGCTTGGGAGTGTTGCCAGTGTTTAATAAAAACATTAACTAGAAGTATAAAACAAGTTACATACTTTACGACGAACATAAAAAAGAATTTAAAGCCAATTTTATTTGTTAAAATTTTTACATGTCAACTGTCAACGAGGTAACCGAGACCTCGCTCAAAACGCACATTTTACATGTGGTAAGTGACAGCATACCTGGCGGACGAACCAACTCACAAAGGATGCATTTTATGTGAAGAACATGTTTGCAAACGGTACTATTCAAGAGTGGAAAGGGCCATCATCTCCAAATTCTATAAGTAGACTTAACTGACCGCATGAACTAATACGTAAATTTTCAACATTAACCACAACCCTAAGAGCGGCTTTTTCCGCCTAAACACAACCCTGGCAAAAAAAGTAAAACAAAGTACAATAGCAACATTAATAATAAGACAATAGTAACAAAACAATACAAAAAAAACAATAAAACCAAGCCGTCCAGAATCTTATTGCGGGTACTCACTGGATTATAGCTGAGCAGGACAAATAAATCAATCACCAAGTAATTCACAAAATCCATAGGCTTAAAAGACAAAGACCGAAAAACCAATGCGTACATGAGATCGGGACGCGCAAACAAATTAAGGTAAGGATGGTCTCTGAGTGTTGGGAAACAACAAAATGAATTGAATGGGGTCGCGATCCTCACAAGAAGGAAAAGGTCCATAAAAATGACAACTTTTGGACAAGGACTCAGTCAATGATGGTCAATCCGCAGCCTACGAGAAGGAAGATAGGCCCCAACTTCAAATAGTAATCCCAAATGTTTGGAGTAATACTAATTTCCCGGTCTAGGGGGATCCCGAGTCGTACACAGATTTGAGTCGGCGTAATTGTGCCCTAAACACCGAAATGTCTATCGGGGACGGAGGGTCCCCGCCTCCTTTTATTCCTACTGGGCGTATGGCAACGGCCCGGCGAAACCAGGAGAGATTATTCAAACTATTCGCACGTCGCTCTTGAGCCCCAAATAGCGTACAGTACCGGACGCGGTGGACACTCAGCAAACTCGGTGAAGCCGTGCGTTGCAGATATATCTTAAATCATCGGCACCTTATTTGTTGTCAATGTTAAAAAATCTTAAAATCAGTACAATAAATATAACCATATTACATTAATGGTAAACTGCCTTGTTAGTTTCTTCATATTAATTAACTTGTTTGGACTATCTGATGCCACTTCAACCAAACTAATAAGTGCTGTTTTTGCGTGATTCTTTAATATCCCCATTTTAAACAACTCCACATAATACATTTGCCGTGCAGCACATAATATTTTCCTGGACTGTAATCTTATTTTAATAATTTCATTTTTGCTGGATGTTTTTTTGTTTTCTCTTAAACAGTTTGGACATATAAACATTTTGTTATCATCAACAACGACATCATGTTCTATGTCCAAGTGGTAGGGGTGTTTTATTTTTGTTTGTTCTTCTACAATTTTCCAATTGGTATCAGCTATGGTTCTATTGGACATAAGTGAAGCAATATAATGGTTCCTTTTATTCATTATATAAACCATGGCTTTATTCATGTTATCTTTCATGTAGTACGAATATTCATTTAACTTTGTAAGTTTTAAGACAGAAAAATAAAATATTGCACCGCATATAATATGAAGGATATGATGCCCAATATAAATGACCATCAATTTTTTACCGAAGCTATATTCTCCTTTTAAAGAAACAATGTAAAGTATAAGTATCAATCCATATATACTTGGATAAATAGTTACAATTACTAAAAGGATTTTGTAAAAGCTTAAGTTGAAGCCTATGCAAATTAAAATGGGTGATAGTATGATGTAAATAAAAGTTCTTATTATCATAATATAAGCATAGCTAACTATAATAAAGACAACATCTTGAACATCAAAATCGTCTAAAGCAAATTTTCCTGCGAATGCACCTGCGGAGAACATAACTGAGCATCTGGTTACCACACACCACATTTCCCATAAAAATTGAACATATTTTAAATTGGTTGCGTTTAATCTGTTTTTCTGTTGCTTGTAAAATAAACCTACAATCACCAAATATATCGTTCCATAACTTTGTAGGTAGTGAATCAATATGCATAATCCAAGAAAAGGAACTGTCAGATGGAGCATCAGTAAAGTTGTTTGATGTTTTTGGATGTGGTTAAGGACAAGGCAATTTAGTTTTCCAATTATTAAACCAAATAATGTATCTGAAAAAAAGATTTAATTATGTAATGGAGTAAAGCACGGAAATATAATCCATTCAAAGCTATTCAAAGAGAAAGGTGGATTGTTCAACTTCAATTAATACAGGGTTTTTTATAGGGGTGATATGTTTTGTATATAAAATATTAAAAATGTAAAATTGTCTGCCATTTTTCAATGGGTGCTAATACTGTAACACTTAAGAATTGGAATTTCATCAGAAAAGATGGAACAAAGTATAGTGGAATCATAGCAATTACTCCCGATAATGAAAGTTTCCTAGCGAGCCGATAGGCGAGTGAAGGAATTCATTGAGGGAGTAATTGCTATGATTTCAGGCTTGGTAAACAATATACTATTTTTAAAATATCAATGTATTTTGCAGAAAACAGGACCTATGCTGGTTTCAATTTTTGCTTTTTTCCAATTTCATATGGACTGGGTAACTAAAAGTTGTATTTATATTTATATATCAATTCTACAAAATGTAAGTCACAAAATCCATAAATTTAAAAGACCTTTTCCAGTAAACAAAAGTGTGTAAACTAACCGAGACATAAATAAACATAGGAACCTAGAAGCTTATAGACCCAACTAAATTATAAACCCTACTAATAATCGAACTTAGCAGTCGTACGAAAACTTAAAGACAAAGACGGACAAACCAATGCGTACTCAAACCACAGTATAAAGAACTGTATACTGTGCGACTAGGGCAAAAACGGCAATTGGGTAGGAGTGGAAATAATAGTAGCCGCCTCGGACGTCTTCAACGTCACAAGGAAACCACAGGGGGTAGACAGGGTGACGTTCAAGTCTAAGCCTACGATAAGGAAGTCCTTACAGCTAATTAATAATTAATATTAATGTTTGGTGTAATACTAATTTCCCGGTCTAGGGGGATTCCGCGTCGTACAGATTTGAGTCGGGGTAATTGTCCTCTATAAACCAAAATGTCCGCCACCCTTCCTCCTCCTTTTGTTCATAATGGGCGTATAGCAACGACCCGGCGGGCGAATACGGGAGATGCTATTCAAACTATTCGAATGTCGCTCTCGAGCTCCAAATATGGTACAGTACCCGACGCGGTGGACATTCGCACCCAGCAACATGGGTGAAGCCGTGCAGTTGCTGGCGGCAAAAAAAATCGGCGTACGGAAACGGAGGCTTGTGCGAGTTTCGGGAGAGATGAGGCAATGGGGCTATATTCTGCCCTACAATGGAGAAAGGTAGTAACTGCTAAACAAGAAATTTGTGGAAAATTAGCATAAACTACATTTTTATGAAAAGCAGTAGGTATTTAATTGATTTTTTTAACTTATGAGATATTTGACTGCATTTCTGTGTTGCTGCTTTACCATAGCACAAGAAAACGCATTTTGCATTTTTTTGCAGTTACTGCATTTCTCCATAGTACTACTCTTATACTAATAATCATACTAGTATAATATCTTCAGATACCTAGTTGAGGTAAAAATTCTAAAAATTATGAGTTATAAAGTTTTAGCTTTCTAGGATAATATTTTCAGATGAATTGTTGAGGTAAGTTCAAAGTGAGTGATTTTGTTTACCTGCAAGTATTAGTATAAATTTTTGTTTTTACTAAAATTAATTTATTTATATTAATTCTATCCGGGAAAATAATAAATCGTGTGTTAGGTACAAAGAGAAAAGAATATTTAATGTATCTATGGTCTATGCTTATGTTCATTTGTGCTTTACACATTAAGTAGTCCTTTATACGTATCAGACTCCACGAGATCTGCTTCTTGAACAGCCAATTTCAAGTTTTTTTACAGCACAACTTCCTCGTGTATTAGAATATCTCCGGGTAGTTTACCTTTACCATTCAAAGAGGGCAAAGTAGGTTGCAAACAGACGTGTGAAGTAGTTTTGACTATTTGGCAGCGTGCTGTTTGAACGATATTTAGCTCCCAACAAGCACCGACAAAGTGAAAATAATACTGTGCCTGACAATATATTCAGAAGTGATCTCGAAGATTTGTTTTATTTTGCTGCGAAAGACGCTCTGACTAAAGTAAAGAACGTTGACAACAAAGTTTTACTTTAAAAGCAAAGAGAAGTGGCATGAGTAGAACCGACAAGAAAGAGACAGCGGAAAGAACGAAAAAAAGTTAAAAAATAAATATGCTAAATTATGGTAAATAACCTAGGTGATAATAATTATATTATGAAAATTCGAAGTCTGGGTATTTATCAAGATGTAAATTTTGGATATAGATAAATATGGATATTGATTAAGAAAGTTTTGGGATATAAATAAATACAATGTATAATAGTATATTCTGTAACAAGTTTGGAATACAGCATATTCCGCTCGAGTGATGAGTTTGTCACACGAGCCGAAGGCGAGTTTGACGGTTTCACGAGAGCGGAATATGCAATTCCAAACGTGTTTCAGACTATACTTTTTCTACGTTTCCAAAAAATACCATAGAAAAATAATTTAATTGGAAGAAAGTGAGGTTGGATCGGTCTAAGTTGTTAGATATATCTTATATTATTAATATATTAAAAACAGAGATGTCGCCATGAGTGTTTATTCTGTAATCGGATGATAGAATATTGCATTATGTAGCACTTTACGGAATATATATTCCATAGACAAAAGTGATATTAGAACGATCAAATTCCGTAATAGGAGTAGAAAAAACTTATTCCTGTAATTGGGCCCTGTGCCTTTTAGATACAAAAAAATGTATGTACAATGTACTATGCTCCACATTTCAAAGTCCCACCACGTGACCACGTACGGAACGCAGTCTTTTGAAAATTTGGCATTTAAGGCTTTTCAGGTTATGTATCTGTCAAAGTATAGTCAACGAAAGAAATAATATTATGTTTAGGTGTTAAAAATGTATAAATCTTTATAACATTACAATAACAATGGATGGTTTAGGAATTTAAGAATATAAATACTGCATTTAATGAAATTCTAAAGTGTATGGTGCCAAATAAGTAATATTTTTGTGCATTTGGTCCAAATTTTAACTAAACAGGATTTATTAAAAAATATCTAGCTTCTCTATTATGGAATAAAAATATCTGTATTAAAGGTAGGTTAATATATTATAACAAAAATATCATCTAACTTTGTAATTTTAAGGTTAGAAAAATTTATTTTAACTAAAATAAATAAGTATTTTAGATTATTTAAAAGACTGTATACAGTATATATAATATGGTATTTAAAAATGTGGTTTTCCTTATCCAGCTTAAAGTGTTCCTACATAAAGTTTTGTCAATACAAATAGTTAAAAAGCTTCGACTAAATTTGATCTACATTGAAAAATCATTATAACTTTAAAATTTTTAATAAATCACATGTCATGGGAGTATTAAATATTTTCACATTGCAAGTTTCTCCAAAAATTGTTTGTTTTCTTATAATCTAACTTAAAGTATAAAAGCTTCATTTTAATTTGAACCATATATTCAACAATTATTTAGTATACCTATATTTATTTATATTTATAACATTACAATAACAATGGATGGTTTAAGAATTTAAGAATATAAATACTGCATTTAATGAAATTCTAAAGTGTATGGTGCCAAATAAGTAATATTTTTGTGCATTTGGTCCAAATTTTAACTAAACAGGATTTATTAAAAAATATCTAGCTTCTCTATTATGGAATAAAAATATATTATAATATATTATTAAAAATATATTATAACAAAAATATCATCTAATTTTGTAATTTTAAGGTTAGAAAAATTTATTTTAACTAAAATAAATAAGTTGGCTCTTGACACTCGAAGCGGTCGGATGCGTCGAGCTAGTTTCCTAGCTCGACGTAGCGTATTCGATACAAACGTAAAGTACCAAAAACGAAACAAAGTATCCGGAAATTTCGGTAATCGTTAATAAATAAATAAATAAACAAACAAGTGCAAGAAGTGCAACAAGGGCGAAAATTGCGAGATAACGGCGTAAAAGTGTGCAAGTGAATAAGTAATTAAGGCTAGGCAACAAAGATAAGTCAACAGACACACCTGGATCAGAGCGTCTCAAAACCTGCAGGAGAAGGAACAAAGGACACCCCGCGAAAGACAAAGCATCAGGATTATAGCCTAATAATCAAGCTAAGTAATTTTTCTAATTGCATGTTTTACCGTATAATCGTTAAATGTTAAAAGCATTTCACAATGTTGCCAAAAAAATCTAAGAATTCGTTTTATCTGTCATAAAAACTAAATTAAAAAAAAAAAGTTAGAATATCCGTAATTGTTAAATAAACAACCTCATTTTCTCATTTTCTCATAGTAGACAAATCATAAACAACCATTGAAAAAGGCGTAAGAGTAAATAAACTAAATCAAGC